GGATGGGAAATACTCAGGATGGTGACTAAATCCTGGCTGGATCATGTGAGATTTGAACTAGTTACAGGACCACCGCCCTGTAATCTTATCATGATTAAGTTTGGAGGCTCAGCAGCATTAGCAATTCAAAGACAAATCAGAGAGTGCATGATACCAGCTGGTACAGATGTATCATACAAAATGCACACATATGTGTAAACTGCACGTGGTGTATTACCATACCACATTTTGCATGCTATAAATCTTGTCTGTTAAGTAAATGAGAGCTGAAAATGTGAGTCAACCTATATGAGAAAGGGAGGGGTGGGGCACTGGAGATTCCTTCATTAATTAATCATGGGCAGAGGAGTCAATTCTAGGAGTGCTGAGTTAGGAGATGTATCTTTTCCCGACATTATGGAGATCTTCTCACTCCATATCCAGTTATATCACCAAATCATGTGGTCAACATGCCTTCCAATTCACTGCTCCCAGAATGATTTCCTCAACCATATCAAAAACACTCCCACCTTGGATCAATTCAAACTACTTTCTCATTTTAGAATTTAAGCAGAAAGCAGATCAAACATTTTGACAACCGTGTAGTACATTTCTGCTTTTCAGACACTGGAAAAGCAGATTTTACTTTAAGCATGTTAAGCGGCCGAAAAGAGGCCATTTGCATTCCTGCTTTCAGAAGACCATGCCAATAGAACGATTTGGCTACGACCATTGTTCAGCTTTCAGTTGGCTAAAAGAAGACTGAACACTTTATGTTAAAGGGAATATACATCATTTGCTTTTGCTGTAATTTTCAGAAATGGATGGAATTGGGGGATAGGAAATATATAGCAAATATAGTTACACTGACTTTTTTGAGGTTTTGGGTTCGAAAATGCTATAAAAACCAAGAAAAACGATCATTTTCCTGTAGTCTGGTTCCCTGACTCCATATACGAAGAAACAGAGCAGTTTACATACATTGGGGAATTGTAAGGTCAGGGAACCAGTCTAGCTGGCTCGTACCCGTTCATAGGTTTGTAATCGATTGCAAACAAGTGCGATGGTCAATTGGGGCCAGTATTTGAAAAAAAAGCCAGTTGTTTCCAACGCTGATCGGCCGATCAGCGTTGGAAATTGATACAAAAATACCACTTTTCTTGAAAATGACAGTATACCAGGTGCCATGGTTTTACAGGATGCTTTACACTGTCATTCACTAACAGTCCAGCAAAGTATTTCAAAATGATTTGGTAGTTTTATTTTTTGATGTTTGCAAATGTTGTATTTTCCCTTTAAAACAAAACCAAGTTACGGCCATATCAAATGGCACTACACCAAAATCGGCCAACATGGGCATTGATTCTGAGACTGAAGCATAAAACATTTGTAGCCTTTGCAGGCAAGTTTTGCGGCTAACTCCCAAAAGACTTCCAAGAAAACATTAGAATATTTCATTTTAGGGTGGACCTTGGTAAAGTGTGCTAAGTCTTCTTTTATGTGTCTATCAGATGTCCCCCCCCCCCCCCCCCCACAGGTCCAATGTCGGGGTTGGGTCACGTTTATTCATGCCCCAGGTTGGGGATTTCGGTCACTTAATAAAACTGTTACCATTGGCGTACATGTATTGGAAAGGCAATCACTAGTGAGTGTGCCCGGTTCACGTACATGTATGTATCCTCTTCTCCTCCTATCCGGTTCATTAGTAAAAACGTCATACACGCGCGCACACCACTGATTACTAGCGCCCATTGGCTGCAAACGCTCGAGCTGCGTTAACTTCCGGTTCCAATCGTGCAGAAAGTGCTGGAGGTGACGTCACACTAACGAACCGGATATCTGCGCAGATAAGGCTTTACAACCAAATAGCTTGAAAATAGCAAAGCAACCACTCTTTTTCTCAACAAAAATTATAGGCTATTGTTGGCTTACAATCATCCACCATTCCGATTTATTTAACAAAGCGAAATCTCTTTGTGGTGAAAAGCGGGGAATTCCAAAGCGTGCAGTTTTGGCATTGTAGAAAAATTCCTGTCTAACTCTACGCAGTGGACGCTTCATGGAAAATCTTTGCTGTCTGGGCCATAACATTTTTATCTATAAATGAGTTAGACTCCTTGGTTTTAAGAAAATATATTTCCTTGAGCTTTCAAACATATTTTCCTTCTTTTTCCTTTCTTTTTATCAATACCAATACACTTTTAATAATTTCGAGATTAATTTCAATATAATGGTTGAATCCTCAATACATTGTAGATAATTGTTAATTTATACAAAGGCATATTTACATACATTTTACCTATTTAATGTAGATTCCACTTTTATATTTTTATTTTGATCATCCCAATCAGCAGTGACAACTGTCAAGATGTTAGATTTTAATAGTTATGGGGAAAAAATTCAAAAATAATATAAGAAACGTGTCTTTTTTTTGCACTGTAAGTTTTAGTATGTAGGAGCTGCAAAGTTTTATCAATGACACATTAACTATAATACTGACGAAGTGACGATAGTGGGACATCACTTAAGAAAGGTCACTGCACTGTACGGTCATGTTTTCTACCTTGGCAGGTCCAGAAGCATCAGCCTACAGTTGTAGTTAGTAATTAGCTGTAAAAGCAGACTTTTTCATGTTTTGCCTGAAATCCTAGTAAACCTTCACTTTCCAGTTTCCACATTTTTTCAGCTGCTGGTTAAAGTTTGTGCATCAAAGGATGCAATCCGAGTGAAAGTACATGTACATGTACGTCATTTTTAGGATGCAAGCGTTGAAAAATGAAGGCGAGTGCGTAGAAATACCGGTAGGGGCAGGTAGCTTAGCTTTAGGGGGTCTGACGATACATGTATGTCAGAGATTGTCATTTAACTTTTAACAATCCCAATGTCTTGGGTGGGGCAGCCTGGGGGGGGGGGAATAATGTTAAGTTAGCTGTAAGCTGGTAAGGCCTAGCTTGAGTACCGGTAACTCCAGCTCCAATGCTCATCAGGAATTTGATCTATATGTCGAATACCTGATGAGCATTGGAGCTGGAGTGGAAAGCTAGATTAGACCTACAAGTTACAACTTTTTCTACGCATTCACCTTTAATTTGAATTTTGCAACGCGTGCGTCTTACAAATGACCGTATGACGTACCATCACTTGGATCGTATCCTTTGAGTTTAATGCACGAACTTTTAACCAGCAGCCCAAAAAATGAGGAAAGTGAATGTTTTACCAGTAAATCAGGCAAAAAATGAAAAAAAAATCTGTTTTTTTACATCTAATAACTAAGTACAAATGCAGGCGGATGCTTCTGGGCCTGCTGAATTCAACAGGATCCAACTATGTCATATACCCGATGGAGCCTGTTGGATTGAGCAGTAAACCCCTTGTGTACATTCCTGATACAAAATGTTGGATTCAGCAGGCAACTGAACCGCATTATAACACCATGTTGGACTCCGTTGGGTTCAGCAGACAACTGAAAATGAGGCACAGTGGATTGAACAGGAAACTCCGGTTGGACTCTGTTGGATTTAGCAGGGTAGTCCTGAGGAACTGCATGTACTAGGGGGTTAATAGGTATATCTAAATTGAATTTATGTAAACTATATAGGCCTTTGTATATATTATTAACAATTATCTATTGAGGATCCAACCATTATAATGAAATTAATCTTGAAAATTACGAAAAAGAGTATCAATTGGCATTGAAAAAAAGAAAGGGAAAAAAAAGAAATATGTTTGAAAAGCTCAAGGAAATATATTTTCCTAAAACCAAGGAGTCTAACTCATTTATAAAAACATTTTGTACTGAGTTGCATGGCCCGGACACCATAGATTTTGCATGAAGCGTCCACTGCGTAGCTAGATTTAGGCAGGAATTTTTCTGCAATGCCAAAACTGCACGCTTTGGAATTCCCCGCTTGTCGCCACAAATAAAGAGATTTCGTATTGTTAATCGGGAAAAAATGTTGCAACCTGACGCCACTTCAGAGGTTGTGTGCAAAGTCTATGAAGAGTCAAGAAAATTATATTTCGTGTGATTTCCAGGTTCGTTTGCGCACGTTGGCATATCTAAATTCCGAAACGAAATTACACAAAAAACAGACGTCTGAAAAAGGGGGGGATTAATTTTCTATCGCTTTAAAGAGGGTGAGTGTGCTTCTATTAAAGTGTAAATGAACTACAAATACAGTCTAAATGTGAAAATAAAAAGTTGACAAAGTTCTACATGTTCTACATGTTCGGGGGAAAGAATATTGCAACCTGATGCTACTTCAGTGGTTGTGTACAAAGTCAATGGAGAGTCAAGAAAATTATCTAAGTATTTCCAAACAAAATTGGAAATGTTTCTCAGTCCACTCCCAGGTTCATTTCATGTCTTATCATCATTTTTGCTATGACTGACCTTCATTGAGATGATATATGATTATGAAGAAAAAGGCAGCGTCAGGTTGCAACATTCTTTCCTGTCCCGGTACATGTACGTGGTCCAAGTGTGGCCTTTATTTACGGAGGTAGTCCAGTAAATTGCATTGGTTACATTTATGGGCTTAGTTACTTCTTGGTCATGTTGGTTGCAAAGCCTTATCTGCGCAAATACTTAGGCAGATAGGAGGAATTCCTTCCTCCATGGGAGGAACAAGTTCAACATTTTCAAAACAAAACTTACCAATTACTGCCAGCAGATTATTATGGCTGACTATCAGATAGTAAATGTCACTCGGAGTCGTCGGTCTGTGTATGTCAATTTAATTTTCAATTTGAATGTTGGGCGCAATCGGCATGATCGGTGGCCTATGGACTGATAGAAGGAAATGCTTGACTGAGGGGCAAATTACGCGATCTAGCCGCTGGGGAGTAGCTCCGGTCCGGTATCGACTTATTGTACTTTCGATTCTAGTAGCCGATTAAAAACAAGAATCGCTACCAATGGTCATACTTTAACGTTGTCGATGCCGGAAGACCGAATACACTAAGATATCGATTAGCTGATCTGGAGTCGTGTACGGTGAAAATTAAATAGTATGGCAGACATTGGCAGATAGTCGTGTAAACATTCCCGGTCAATGAATCATGCAGGTGTGGGACTACATTACACCTAACCATTCAGGTATCCATGCGATTGATTACGTTAACTTTTTTTGCAGTGTATTTATCCTTAACTTTTTCCTGAACGTTTTATGGTAATCCCTTACCTGATTTCATCAAATGATCAAATCTTCGTCTGAACGAACGTAACGGTTTTAGGCCTAGCTGATGTGATGCACACATAGTCTAGTTCAGCAATGAACGTGTGATTTCGATGTTGTGCGCTTTCTTGCAATTTGCGCAATCTTAAGAATGCGCGCTCATTCTTAAGATTGTGTGCTCATTCTTAAGATTGCGTGGGCATATGACGTGCCCAATTAAAGAATTTTGCGCAATCTGAAAACATTGCTCGGCATAAACGTATTGCTATAATATTAAAAAAAGCCTGGGGAAATAATTAGCCTAAAGAGAAAAGAAAATGATTTAGGGCCTAGGGCTAGATGCTTCTGTACGCGTTTAAATATGATAATTTGAATTATCCTCGACCCTCCATAATCTGCGGAGGTAACGCTTGCAATGCGCACGCATTATCACACACAAATTTAAGGTGAATGCGTAGAAAGAGGACTGTGTAGCTTCAGGGGGTCTGACGATGACGATAAATTAAAGCTGTTATTATTGCTTTTTTTCTGCCCCCCCCCCCCCTCCCCCAAGGGAAGTTTTGTAATAACGGAGGACTGGGAACTAGTCTGGAAATAGTCCGAGTTTTAAACTAGGACTCTCCAATTCCCACTGAAGCCTACAGGGGTCCATCAGGCAGTTTGAAGACTGTAGATTTTGATTGGGGGTACGAGTGAAAATGGTCAAAAAAAGTTATTAGTAACGCAATAAGGCTATGTACCTAGGACTCTACTATCGCCCGCCCATGTCTAAATGTTAAAAAAGGCGATTAGTAGAGTCCTAGTTAGTCTGGAAAGTGCTTTGTTTAGCCTAGACCCTGCATCATATGCAAACCAGGGCAGTTCGCATATTTTACATCGTATTTCAACCAATAACATCACGCACCCCAACACAAATATTTATCACTCTGTGTGGATGGAAGGCACTTAGGTTCTCCATAGGTTCTCGTAGTGTTTTCCTTTAACACCATTGTTCCCCCCCCTTCCCCCCCCCCCCCCCCCCCCCCCCCCCCCCCTTTTGTTATCCCAAAAAATCAGAATTCTTTCCACTACTCTTAAGAATGTGTGCTCAATTTGGAAGATTTTTTTTTTCGAAAATTGCGCAAGGATCAATAACGAATGTCACGTGATGTGAGTTCCACTAATCAAATGATAAGGATATGTATGTAGGTTATATAAAATACTATAGTACCAGTGTTTATCTGAATGAATTTGAAGTTTTTCAACAAAGAGTTTTGGCAACACTGCCTGAGGAAAATGTGGGAAACATCAAAGTGCACCACATTATGGGACTCGACTGTACTGTACTACATAGAAAAAGGTGTGGGAAAAAATGCCAAATTACATGTAAAGGCCTAAATTTTAAATCTTGACTTTTTTCATTTCAGGTGTGGAGTTGTGTGCTGCATTTTTCACTAACACGCATCAGTGATCAAGATATATTTCATTGCAACTGGTTATTCTTCATCTAAATGTGCTACCATGGAGTCACTAGATATCCAGCATGTCAGAAGGAAGACTGTTCATGTAGCTGAACCTTACTTTGGTGTGAATTCCATGAGTGTTCAACTGATATACAGACAATTTCTTGCTGCAACCTTTATGATGGGGCTGTTCCTGTGTTCATTTGCTGAAGGCTCTGAAGATAATGTCAAGTGCAACAATCTCCAAATAGGACAGTATCCTTTTTCAAAACAATCAGTGAAAATTGTGTGCATCTTGAGTCTTTCCAAATGAGCAAAAACTTGAAAAGAGTTCCATACCTGGACATCACTTGTCACCCCGTGCTCAAACCCTATGAGACTGGTCTGAAAAATTCCAAGTGTTTTCTCAGTAAGTGCTTCAGTTTTTTCCCTGCTAAATTTGACTTTTTGGGACATTGTATCACTTTCTTACGGCTGATACCTGTAGGTCACCGCAGGGAAATAGTAGAGATGTCCATGTATAGAATTCTTCCCAAAAAGGTTACCTCAGGTATGATCATGCCTGTTTTCAACATGCGCATCGAGAACATTTTGTGTGAGAAAATGAATTTACGGGATTTGTTACACTGTTGGTCACATTTGTATTATTGTTGACCCCTGACCCATGGTTTATGGAGGGGGGGGGGGAATACAATTCTGGACAGATCTTGAAATTTGCTCAGAATCTGCATGAGTTGAGTTTGGCCCAAAACCACTGACTTTCATGTATACACTAGAGGCAAGAAAAGTGTTTCCTGTGCCGACCATGGGTGTCCGTTACCTATAATGACACTAGAATGAATACATAATTGGCACAGTTTACATGTATACACAGCTCTGCCTGAAGTAGATTCTTCGATTGAATTGCATGTTTTTACTAGGAGTTGACCTTTACAGGTATTTGTGGAACTTGGTACCTTATTTTCCAGCTTGGGAAAGATTCCCATACCTGGCCATCACATGTCCTGAAAATTTAGCAGGGAAAATATTGAAGCATTTACTGAGAAAACACTTAGACGTTTTCAGACCAGTCTCATGGGGTTTGTGCACAGAGTGACAAGTGATGTCGAGGTATGGAATTCTTTCCCAATCTTGAAAAAATGGAAGTGAGTTTTTTTTCCAACCAAGCAGTGGTGAGCTCCCCTCGGTTTCATCATGTTCATCTACTCTTGTGATTTTCTCTGTATCCCAATGTTCATCACAGCCTCACCAAGTATGTGTATTGAATAGTGTATTTTTCCCTACTTCTTCTGGTGAATACTACTTCAAAAACGATAGAAACCTGCATTAAACTTATCACTATCAGAGAATACTATCAACTGTAATTTGACCATTTGAAACGGTCGGGTTTTAGTTTTTACCAGCAACTATCAATAAGAGGTTTTTTGTCCCCAATTTCAGAAAAGCTGTATCGAAATCTGCAAGAAGGTTCCAGGTAATTCAACCTTGACCAGGTACCCACCATTTTGGTTGGGTATCTTGTACATGCGTATCTGTCCCAACCTAGTGCTGACCACAGGATCTAATTTTATGAGCTGCAACTACTCCCCAGATTATGGCAGTATAGCTTTAATTTACAGTCCAACAGTCAATGTCTTCTCCTTGACATATTGCAAGGTATGTGTGTGAGGATCCAGTCATAGACCCAGAGACACAAGCTGCAGTCAACTGTCTTCCAGAGAGGCTAGTCACAGGTACAAGGGTGTAGATTTATTACCATGAGGGGGGGGAGGGAGGTAGGAGAATGACAAGGGGTTGGGGGTCTACATGCATTTGATGTATTTTAAACTAGAGGCATGAATGTTTCTGGCCAGTAGCATGAATTAGACCTTATGCATTATTACACCAAGTTCTTCCCTAGAGGAAAGGCCCACACACTGATGTCACTTGAGCATCTGATCAGTGTGTGCCAAAAAGCCACAACTTTCCCTCTTCAAAGATGTACATGGTCTTTCTCATTCTAAAGTTAGAGTTCAAGATCAGATAGATCTGGATGATCATGAGACCTAGGGATGTGGTTGCTTGACTTACTAGGGTCACACTAGTAGGATAGGGCTGGATGCCATGCAGGCTAGCTCAACCCTGTTCTGATGCCAGAAATGTGTGTTGATTTTGCCAATTGAAGCATGCCAGGCTGCAGATAAGGATTGCTTTCCCAGTAGACCTGGTAGAATGATTCATTTCTTTAGCTTTATCACATGGAAGTAGCAACTGCTTCATTAAAAGAGATATAGGAATGTATTGTTCTGTATGTCAGTCATTGTAAAAGAATATAAGGTACATGTACATATGTCAGCACCACATTACTCACCCGAGAATCCTGTTTCAAGCTCAACACTTTCAACTTATTATTCTGAATGGATTCATTTGAGGCTATAGCAATCAACAGTAAAGTGTGTACTTTTTGGTTTGTGTCCACAGTTAGCTGCATGCCAGTGGCTGGTACCCAATGTGATGGGGAGATTTACAATGGCTCGACAGTTGCACCAGATTTAAAGAGAATGGTTCCCTGTCGATACACGTAAGTCATGATGTATCTGAAGTACAATGCTGTCATACCCTGTTCACTTGGGACTTATGAAATGGGATTTAGTTTAACAAAGTTACTCATAATGTTGGCTGGGCCGTCAATATCCATATTTTACACTGTAGTAGTAATGTGAAGCTGGAGGGATGTTGTTATTCCCTGTATCATTTTTTTTTTTTTTTTTATTTCTTTCTGGTAATGAAACCGAGGATTCCTCAAAAGTGCCCTAAGCACTGTAGCTCGAAAGCTGGAAGAAACCTGTGGAGAGAAGACAATGAGAAGACGTTACAGTTTTAGAGGTGGGATGAAAAGCCCAGAGGGATATTCTGGGGGAAACCCACGGAATCAGGTAGGGACTGAAAACCCAATCCACATATTGGCCCGGGTGGGATTCGAACCCGGGTCACAGCGGTGGAAAGCGAGGAAAGTACTGCTACGCCAGCCTGACTCCCCATCATCTGTCCAGGCATCCTTACAGTTTCTGAATATCTTCCTCATTGTTGAATAAAACTGGGATCAATGCTTTTTGATTCCCTCAAACTTCTAAATGATTACTTTGATGTATACACTTGATTATTTTTAGATGTTATGTTTACAATCACGTTTCACCGTCCTACATTGATAATGCATGCTCATGGGAACATTTACTGGGATTAGATGCAAATCTCATCAAAGACAATGCAAGATTGACATCCAAGACCTACTGCTTACTAATATCAAACCACTTCAGCTGGCTGTGTGGATGCAGGGGATGGTTGGCTGAGTGGCATGTGGTAGATTTTGTGCATCGATGTGATGTCAGCCTGTGTTATAGTATCCCCTTTTCGTCCTGTCTATCTAGGACTGGTTACTCCTACAATACTTCGCTGCTGTTGTCCATATTCCTGGGCATGTTTGGTGTAGATCGTCTGTATCTAGGCTATCCTGCCCTAGCTCTACTCAAGTTCTGTACTGTGGGTCTTCTCTTCATTGGCCATTTCCTAGATGTCATACTTATAGCTTTGCAGGTATGTATCCCTGAATCCATCCCATAGAGTGACACTATAAAACTCTTAAATAAATAGAAGAACTGTAGATGTGATTTTAATAGGAGGCTCTCTGAATCACACCCAAAGCCTAGGACCAACTGGCTAACGAATGAGCCACGTCGAATCCCATGTCAAGACGGCACAATAGATTGTACGCTTTGGATGTTATTTGGAGGGAGGGTACATGATGTTGGACACTTCTGTAGATAAAATTGCATCTATCTAATCTCCTCTCTATTATTGAATTCAGAAATCATAGCTCTCACAATATTGGTCTAACTGCAGAAAGATTGGTTCCTAATTCCTGCAAATACATTCTGCAACATCACAAATTTGACATCTTAAAAGTTTGAAAATAATTTTAAAATGTGAAATTTGCTGGAGTTTAAATGTGTTCAACTTTTGCAGATTCTCAGCACAAATACTGGGTTCAATCTCCAATTTATGTTGGCATTTGCTTCTGTGCCAATAAAGGCATATGTTATTTTGGCACACAATCAATGTCATCAATCATTGTCATCAATGCAGGAAAAAAATATGCGATAGAAAAATCACAATGTCCGTTAACATGTCTGAGCATCAAATGTTTGAGAGCATGTTCATGCATAAGTCAGATTAATTCTGTTGCTTTCATTCGCACAGTGAGAATTTATTTTGTAAAGGGAGTTACTTTCTTAATTTAATTGGGCAGTTTTTGAAAAAGAATTGATAATTGTACTAGAAAGCAGGGGAGTTGCCTAAATTGTATATTCCATGAACATTTACACAATTTCACACACACAAAAATCACTTTTTAGCATCAGTTGGCACTTATTTTCAGTTACACATCATTCCTTTACCAAAATGTGCAATATGCCTGAAGTTGAAACTAATTATAACAATGTTTGAATATAATGTTGCCTTTCTTTGTTTGTGCAGGTTGTAGGCCCGGCTGATGGCTCAGATTACATCCTTGATTATTATGGACCTGTGCTTCAGAAATCAAATCTGGACAATTATACATATTACATGCCTAACACTGACTGAACCGTGCCAACATGTCAAGGAAACTAGCCAAGGATGGCATGGAAACTGCATCGTCTTATTTTCAAGACTCCTCCATATGGTGATGTTCCCTCTGTGTTTGGGATGTGAAAAAAAACTTCCAACAGGACAGAGAATGATAAGAGATATTTGTGAAAAAAAGAAGACACGCTTTTGAGTTTTCAAGGTAATAAACTTCAGAACAATACAATGGAGGATAAGATCTTCAGTTGGGGAATAACATTGAAGAGGGCCCTGTGTGGACAACAAGGACAATTTTGTCTGAAGATGAGAACATCTGAACTTCAGCTTAGCCCATGAGCCACGATAGATTGGAATCTTTGTCATAGAACTTGATGACATTGTGATCTTGATATAGGCATGATCAGCAATGAACAAAGGATTGAGTGACATGAGTAGGAGTTGAACCCATTTTGCTGCAGTGAAACCAATGAAAGTGCTACCTGTGAAACCATGACCTCCACACAGTGACAGACTGGGGCTCAGTCATATCCACATACAGGGTGGTTAAAAAAAGGACACCCACATTTGACAGAAATTTTCACCTACTTATTGAACTCATTTTAAATGTTTTTTTCTTATACCGGTAGTAGTACAGTATAGGCCTTTAACCATGCATGGTGAAAAAAGCTTAGTAAAAGTCGCATAAATAGTGATATTATGCTAATTTGAATACAAGTCACCAAAATCAGTCTTGTCCACAGGTTATTTGGACGTTTTCGTAGTTCATAAAAATTTAAAAACCTTCCCACCAAAATATATTTTGCCTTGGTAACTTTTATTGAAGCTGTCAAATTATTCATGTCAGTGTTAAGATCATTTACTCAATGAGCTGTCAGCTTAAGTTCATTGTTGCATAACATTACATAACATAATCAAATGTCATGCCCTTTCAAATAAAGCTCCGATAGCTGAGCTCAGTCAAGCGAAGGGAATGCATACCTCCGTGGACAAACAGGTTTGGCACATGAAATGGTCAAATTAGCATAGCTCAATGACAAAATGGCAAATGCAACGATTTTTTCGTCACATTTGCTTAAAGGCCAGTACTTTAATAGCTACTCGTAAACAGTTAAAAATAATTTTTAAAAATAGGTCAAAATGGCTGTCAAATTTGGGTGTCCTTTTTTTTTTTACCACCCTGTACATATGATTTTAATCCATGGTGCCGAAGTGGAATGTAAAGTACAGTACTTGTAAATGTATCAGAGAAAATGGTTGCAGTATTTACTAAAATAACTGAAGTGGCAGTTGAACCTCCATATCACGTGTTGGATCAAAGTTTCATGCTCCTCATCAATTCAGACCTCCCTGGTCAATACTTCAACAAAAACAGAGAATTTCTAGAAAGAGAAAGGGCTGAATTTTAAATTGAATTCATCTCTTTTTAGACGTGGCCATGTGATGGTATTTTGTAAGCTTGCAACAGCTTTTGAGCAATATATAAATATACAAAATCCAAGATATGTGGTAATAGACCCTATTTGTAGATTACAAGAGTGGGGCTTTTATACATGTATATAGTTTGGAGGGCCATGTCTTGTAAAATTGCTTTTTGGGGAATACTTGACAAGTTTGATGAGACTGGACAGATCATTCCTTTTAAGTTTTTAGGTTGTTGGTTTTTTTTTGGGGGGGGGGGAGGATATGGTCACCGACCGACTCCCTGTTTCTACAAAAAAGATTGAATATTCAATTTGGAGTCTGCACAATTCTCACCTATTCAAATTTTTGGACAAACTTAGTTATAAAGTATTATACTGTATTGCAAACAATCTCTTAATAAAGGAAATAAATGGTAACCTGTGGTTGTGGCTGTTATTGTGTCCTCATTTTATTTTGTGGTATTTTAACAAGTTAGTTGAATAGATTTTACCAATATATAAAATTTAATTTATGCTGATTTTTTTTTCGAAGAGTACACAAGTAGTTCATTGTATCTATTAAAACATTTTCAGTATTTATTTTTTATTTATTTTTTTTTGGGGGGGGGGGGGGGACTGGACCCAAAGAGCCAGACGATGGTGCTATGAATGACTAAGTCACTGACTGGACTGACTTAGTGATGAGTCACTGAGTTAAGTAATCTCATGGGGATGTGGATGTCAAGTATTACAAAGAATGAAACAAGCGGCATCGTCTGTGATGTGGTAAATTGGAATTTATAACGACCACCAATAGGTGGCGCTATTTAATTTCTGCGGTCGCATCTGGATCTGAAATCTGAACAAACATTTGTGGAGCTTGGACTTTTTGGAGTCGCATGGAATTTATCTGGGTTTTTTTAGACACATCTGTTGAATGATTTTGTTGTAATGACAGGATCTTTATAAAGATTCCGCGGGAATTCTCGAGGGATGCAGATTGGTCGTTTTGGCGGGAGAGGTACGTAAATTAATGCATTCTCAGGAAGACGTTCGATGACATTGTTTACATTACAATCTAACTGGTGTACCATTGAATCTGTTTCGTGATAAAATATGATGGAAAAAATTCCGTACTGGGCTAGCCCCATAAATGTGGCCAATTTACTGAACTACCTCCGTAAATAAAGGCCACACTTCCACCATGTACAAAAACATGTCGAACTTTGTCAAATTTTGGATTTTCACATGATTTAGGCTTACTTTGTAGTTTATTTTTGCTTTAGAAATAGAAGCATAGCCTACTCACCCTCTTTAATAAAGGCTATAATATCAGAAAGTGCTGCCTTTTTCAGATGCCTAGTTTTCGTGCAATTTCATGTTGAAATTTTGATACACAAACGTGTGCAAATGAATCTGGAAATTTCACGAAAAATAGACATCTGAAAAAGGCAGCACTTTCTGATTAGCCTATAGGCTGATACTAGTGATAGGGTGAGTATGCTTCTAAAGCAAAAATAAACTACAAACTAAGCCTAAATGTGAAAATCAAAATTTGACAAAGTTCGACATGCTTTTGTACATGGTGGAAGTGTGGCCTTTATTTACGGAGGTAGTCTAGTAATATTAGCCACATTAACCCTTACTCTCTGAGGTAGCCCGACTGCGTCTGGCCGTACAGTACTATCGCAAGCTCTGTAGTACGGCCAGACGCTGAATGCTTCCAAAAAGACTGAATTTTTTTTTGCCGCTGATGTAGCGATTTTGCTACATCTTTTGATCGAGATTATCTTTTCATCCAGGACAAAAATTTCCACAGTTAAGGTTCTTAGTCGTAGAGCAACTCATACCTTTTCGAAAAAAACGTTCTTTGGTCTCAATATTTTCATCCATCTGGCCAAAAGACGACTTTCAGTCATCATCTTCCACGAATATCGTCCCGAAAATGCTCCCCCATGCGATTTCAAAATGGCGGCCGCGCTGTAACTCATGAATATGCATAAACAGTCTGTGACGTATGACCTCGTGTTTTTGGACGTGCGTGCGGCGGCGCCGTACGTACATGTACGTATATGTATATTACTTGTAGACAACAGCCCAGTACGTGCATGCACACGTACGTCCGCGCGGCGGTGTGCATGCACGTACATATGTACGTACGGCCCCGCCGCACGCACGTCCAAAAACACGAGGTCATACGTCACAGACTGTTTATGCATATTCATGAGTTACAGCGCGGCCGCCATTTTGAAATCGCATGGGGGAGCATTTTCGGGACGATATTTGTGGAAGATGATGACTGAAAGTCGTCTTTTGGCCAGATGGATGAAAATATTGAGACCAAAGAACGTTTTTTTCGAAAAGGTATGAGTTGCTCTACGACTAAGAACCTTTACTGTGGAAATTTTTGTCCTGGATGAAAAGATAATCTCGATCAAAAGATGTAGCAAAATCGCTACATCAGCGGCCAAAAAAATTCAGTCTTTTTGGAAGCATTCAGCGTCTGGCCGTACTACAGAGCTTGCGATAGTACTGTACGGCCAGACGCAGTCGGGCTATCTCTGAGGGTAGTTTACTGCATGTCAGTTGGTTATGCCAATGCCCTCCAGCTGCAGTTTATTGGCAGATAGTTTGTCTTAACAGTGAAGGCTCCAATTGGCAGGAGTTGGAGGCCCTGGAGGGTGCCTGATACTGACCAGCTGGGGGCACTCACTTTGTTATCAGAGGACTCTCATTGTTCTCTGTGGCATGTATTGGAGTGCCTGTCCAGTTACCCTTGAAATGACATGGCAGATATTGGAGGGCCATGCAAAAAACATAGGAGATTTTCTTGAGGCACATATTGGCATGCGTTGGAGGGTCTAGTAGGGTAAGGGTTAATGGGGCTAGTAGTACTGGGCCACCACTTTTTTCAATTAATTTTCAAACGCCAAAAAAGTTGGATCCTTTATGGTTATTCCCTCCCCTTCTCCCTCCTCTACTCTCACCCTCTCCTTTCCTTTATTCCTATTTATTAATCAGTCACTTACTTCATCAAGATTCGAACCTCGGACTCTTGTTTAAAACACAAGACTTTTACCACTAGGCCGTGCACGATCGCTGTTGCAATAATCAATCTTTGGACGTATTTGAAGTATCCATTGAAATAAGACGAACGAATAATAAATACACTAAATTTTCAGGAGAAATTAAATATTCATAATGACGTATTGCATTCACTATGGCCAGGTGCCTCCAACTTAGCTCTACTGAGTGGAGCGTTGAACTACGGCACCCCCCGTACTAACGCTCCACCGATTTACCATACTTTGGTGACGGATGCACGGTAGCAAATTGTACTTACCCACGCGAGGATGTTACGCCCCAACTATGGTATCGGTCCCAACTGTAGTTCCACAGTTGGGCTGGCCCAACTATAGTTGGGAGTCATCAAGGGGGCCCATCTATAGTTGGGCCACTCCAATCTTTTTATTTTGCGGTGTCCCAACTATAGTTTACATTGATGTACAACTATAAAACATTTCCTACAGCTCAGATACACGTCTGACTTTACTTAGGACCATTGAAATTAGCTATTGATGGGGCCAATCTATAGTTGGGCCACTCCGATCTTTTTATTTTGCGGTGTCCCAACTATAGTTTACATTGATGTACAACTATAAAACATTTCCTACAGCTCAGATACACGTCTGACTTTACTAAGGACCATTGAAATTAGCTATTGATGGGGCTAATCTATAGTTGGGCAACTCCAATCTTTTTATTTTGCAGTGTCCCAACTACATTGTATAGTTTACATTGATGTACAACTATAAAACATTTCCTACAGCTCAGATACACGTCTGACTTTACTTAGGACCATTGAAATTAGCTATTGATGGGGCTAATCTATAGTTGGGCCACTCCAATCTTTTATTTTTCGGTCCCAACTATAGTTTACATTGATGTACAACCATAAAACATTCCCTACAGCTCTGATACACGTCTGACTTTACTTGGAACTATTAGTGAAATTAGCTATGGGTGGGGCCCATCTATAGTTGGGCCATGGCAATCTTTTTATTTTGCAGTCCCAATAATAGTTTACGCTACTGTACGACTACAAATGTACAAAACATTCCCTACAGCCATGACAGCTCTGATACATGTCTGACTTTACTTGGGACCAATGTCAATGAAATCAGCTATGGGTGGGGCCCATCTTTAGCTGGGCCACGCCAATCTTTGAATTTTGCATAAAAAATGTTGCTGGACTATAAAACCCAGCTGGACAACTCATCCAACAAGGCAGTACCACGTGGCCGGCCAGCCCTGCGGCATGCATGCACGAATACATCGGGTGCCAGCGCCGCGGAACATTAACACCCTGTATCGAGCGTCCGGCACAACTCCAGTCCTAACTATAGTTGGGCCGACCCAACTGCCGCACTATAGTTGGGACAGTCCCAACTATAGTTGGGACCGATGCGATAGTTGGGGCGTAACAAGGACAAAAGACCAAAAAAAACGTTAAAGAGAATCCAAAAGAGAGAGACAGCTACCCTGGATAGATCTACACATTCATGACATTCCATCAGACCCCTTATATTGTTCCCAAACAGCGACAATTTTGGAAAAAAAACAGCAAAATAGTCTGAAAACTCACCGCTCAATGTGTTTGCCGTGTTGCTCAGTCCCTTGCACCGAGTTGATGAATGAGGTCGCTTGACATGACGTGACCGTCGTCGCTCAATCAAAGAAAAACAAGTCGCGCTTTATCAACGACTGTTTTGTGTAATGATACGTGCTCCGATATTCAGTGCCCATACCGTAGTACAGCACAGATCAGAGCCACGTATTATTACACAAAACAGTCGTTGATAAAGCGCGACTTGTTTTTGTTGATCAAATAAAAATTAAATCAAGTGTAACCAAACTTTTTCCAAGATTTTTTCCACCAATTTGAAGGTCTATCATTTTGCAAATATTGGGGAAAAGAATTTTAAATTTTTTTTGGTGACAAAATGTGAAAGTTAGACTGAGTGTACCAACATACACAAGGTGATCTATGTATAGGGGTATCTTAGTGAAATCTTTCCATTTTTCAATGACCCGAGCAGGGAAATTCATAAATGTACCCCTCGGTTTTTTTTTTCCATAGGTTTTTCTATGTTTCCATGAAAGCCTAGCAAGCAGCAGCCATGTCATGCTTCTGCATTCGTCTGCAGAAGGACATCGTCAAGACCTTAGACTTCAGACATTGCAGTCTAGCCTTCATACCTGAAGAGGTTTATGAGTATGAGGAAACGCTGGAGGAATTGTGTCTGGACTCCAACAACATCAAAGATCTACCAAGGGTAATAAGACATTTGGATCAATATTTCCCACTAATATTAAATAAAGCTCCATGAAAAAGGCCACATGTGGATTATATTTTTTTAAATATAAGTTACTTGACACATTATGAATATGAGAAATAGTATATGGAGTAAAGAAAATTGGTCAAAAGGAGTATGGCAGAAAGGAAATGGGTGGAAAGCAAAAGTTGCTCAACTTGAAATTGCAAAAGAGTGACCACATTTTATTTAGTGTAAATCATTGGAAATTATAAACAGTCGCCATTTGATAAAAACCGTCATTCATAAATACCTGAGACAGACAGCCCATTCCTAGTTGGTCGAGAGCCCATCACTTGCCGGTAAAACACCACCTCGTGCAGTACACGCCACATGCGCCAATTTTCATATATGGAGATTTTTAGGAATTCTACGGTCGCGAGGCACATACCGCTAAGACATGGCAATTGGCAAGAGGGGTGTTTCACAAAACATGCAGTAAAATTGTTGAACAAAATGATTTTTTGAAATTTGTGAATTTTTGACTTGTTTTGACTTTTTCACCAAAAGGTATTTATGAATGGGAATAAATATGTGCTTGGCCGGTATTAACCCTAATCCCCCTTGAGTGATTTACTGGGAACCTTCCACACTCTTGCAAATTCCAACACCATATGGTAAACTCAACACCCAAACTTTTGGACTGTGATTATTGTGGTAATTGGTATGCCTGACACCATGTAAAAGCATAATCAGTCTGCTAGTGCAGTACTCACTCTAACAGATTCCAACAAACCCTGGTGTTGGAGTTTGACTGGATGGGGATTGTTGGGGTTAAACAAATATGTTTAAAACTGGCTTGGGGCCTGGACACAGATAATGTCCTTCACCTTTGGCTCGGGCCATTATCCGCATCCAGGCCCCTAGTTGGTTTTAAACGTACTTGTTCAATACTGGTCAAGCACATAATGTATTCCCTTACTGATGTACCTGAAACCTGTAAAAAGTGTTGCAATTGTTTCTTCCCTTTGCATAACATCAATAGTGATGGGTGTATTGTGATCAAAGCTTTAAGTTTGGGCATTCATTTCTGTGTCATTTCAGTCGCTGTTTCACTGTGAGTTCCTGAAGAAGCTTAGCATCTGTGACAATGACCTGTGTGCCATACCAAGTGCTGTGGCAACTCTTGTCAACTTGGAACAACTTGACATCAGTAAAAATGGCAAGTATACTTTGTGTAAAAAAAAATTGAACATGGTTTGAACCTGTAAACTGTAGAAAAAATTGTACTAGACCAACCCTGTGCTTATGGACTCTTGGAGAACAGTAGATGTGTAACATCCATTGTAAGACTGCATGTGCATCCTGGTTCACACATGGTTCGCACCAAGTATGCACTACTACTAGTCAGCTAAATGTGTGCAAACCCAAAGCATCTGTGCATAGCTTGGGATTCACAGTGACAGTGGCATTCCAAAATTCTATCAGGTTCTCTTTTTCGTATCTCTCACCATTGTTGAGATACCTATGCTGGCAGGGTAGGCTGATTTAAATCACTGATTTAAATCGCGATTCAAATCAAATGATTTTTTTTTTTAAATCAATGATTGAAATCACTTTTTAGTAAAATAAATTGATTGAGGGTCATTTAATCATTTAAATCAAGTGATTCCACTTAATCACAAAGTGTAAGATGTTGTTAACACATTCAAACACCCCTACTTCATCACCATCGACTCAACTTACATGTAGGTTTTGCATAATTACCCAAAATCATTGTTTTGATTAAAGTCAAGATGTGAGTTGAAGAGTTTTTTTTATTTTAATTTTTGAATTTTAAAGACAGCACACTCACTTTTGCTTTGATAACTCCTTGATTTGTTTGACTAGTCAAAGTGCTTGCCTAAAATATGATCTGACTGTTGGTGACTAGCCTGTGTAAAAAGCATGGCAGGGGAAGAGGATTGTTTTTTTGACTGTCTGTGTCAAAATGTAATATTGATGTTAAATTTCCAACAGGTATTGTTGAGTTACCAGACAGCATTAAATGCTGCAAGAACCTCAGCATGGTTGAAATCAGCGTCAACCCACTGGGAAAGTAAGTGCAAGTATAATATATTTTTTGTCTTTGACAAAGTTTTGGTTATAAATGTACTTTTTTGCCATTGTTTTGAAGTTTTAGATACTCAGATTTGTAATGCTTACCCAGCATGACATGCAGAATTGGGCCTAGTTAATAAAACACCGATTTGTTTATGTTTTCTCTCCCATTGTTTGCTGCAGGCTACCAGAAGGGTTCACTCAGCTCGTCAACCTTACCCAGCTATATCTGAATGACACCCTTCTGAATTATCTACCAGCAAACTTTGGCCGGCTAGTCAAGCTGACTGTCCTAGAACTGAGAGAGAACAGACTCAAGGCATTACCAAAGTACGTACATGGTTTGACAGTTGACAGACATAATGCTACAAGTTATGTTTGCCCCTCCAAACTTGAGGAGAAAAGCATGTTGTCAAATTGTCAAGATAAATATTCTGTATTAGATATTTGCAGTATTTGCAATGAAACACTGCATGTAGTAGTAGGAATACAGCATGCAGTATTAACCTACAAACAGTTTTCTTTGGTGGTTTGGGTATGGGCATACCATCTTTGCTCAGTTGAACAGCCAACATTACAAACAAACACACAGACTCGGCTGAATTCTAATAAATGAGTATTTCCTAGTTGTAAACTGAAACTCTTTTCACTGGAACTGAGTTCCTTGATAACCATTGAATGACATGATTGTCTTGCAACGGACAGGTCCATGGCCAGGCTGACCGAGTTAGAGAGATTGGATCTTGGGATGAATGAATTCAGAAAGGTGGTAAGTGTCTTGTTTGATATTATGTTCTCTATTGGAATCTTTCCTGAACCAGTGAAAAATGCAAAAGGACTCCCAGGTGAGGGCATTTGTGCACCATTTTCTGTTGTCAACCCACATCTAGGTGCATTCCTCTGAGACAGATAGAAGGGGACGCTGGTCTTATAATCACCCAGTAGGATATTAGATGTGTATCATTTGTTGACGGCATAAATCAGTCAGTATGCTTCATCAGCATCGAGGAAGTACCCTGAAAACAGTCATCATTGCTACCTACGCCTCATGTCCAGAAATGAATGATCTTTGTGTAGTGGAGTAGCTGAGGCTTATGCCTGATGTGCATATGTAAATTACATTCTTAGCATATTTTCTAGGTCTGTCCATTTAGTATTCGAATATTTGAAAATGCAGTTGACCCAATATTCAAATAGTTGAAACTCTCCGATCAAGTTTTACATGACCCAGGTGCAACTGCGTGCTGCGCCAGTCAAAATGTGCGTGCAGCAATCGATATTATGGTTAGCAGGAGTGTTTTGCAGCAAGTGTTTTATAACTGTCAACGGCTTTAACCTGCTAAAAGGATGGGAACAGTGAACCACTGTTGACAAGAAAGTGACATCTGACAATAAAGTGCTGCAACTTACGATTACAATAACATGACAGTCGTGTGTGTGCATGCGTAGTTTTGGGGTGTTTTTTTTTTTTGGAATATTCAAAATGGCACAAAGCTATTTGAATATTGGATTGATATTCGGTATATTTGGGACAGCCCTAGTATTGTCAGGTATCCTATATAGTCCCTGTATCCAACCCATAACCTCTCTTACATGTATTGCTGAAGGTAGAATTTATCATTTTGAGCTTCAATGAATTTATGCTGACATTGAACAGCAGGGCTATTCCATGAACACATAATTCAGCTGTTGTGTGTAAAGAATGAAACACCACTGAAGTCATAAAGTTTCTTTTGTGAGATCACAATGTATTTTTTGGTTCTGTTTTTGTTTATCTTTGCAGCCTGAAGTGATCGGGTTCTTCACTAAACTGACAGAGCTATGGCTCGATTCAAACAAGCTGACTTGCATTCCTCCGGTAAGAAAATGGTTGACACATTTATTTGGAGCGTATTGGAAGAAGTAGCAACGTTAACCCATTAGCAATTGCGCTTCATTGTATTACATTGTGTTTATTCACGAATGAAACCATAAAACCACAGAGTGCTCGGGCAGTTTTGGGCATCACAGGGAGTAATAGGCAGGTCAGTTTGGGGCCCTACAGTGACTAATGGGTTATTATCTGAGGCAAACATTACATGAGGAAACACAGTGCTTTGGCGATAGAAACTCTCCTGAGGGGTTCCAACTGTATCTATCCATTCTCAGATGAGCATTGCCATGCAGGGGCAAGTATATGTGAAAACCTTGCATTTCCATGCTGTTTCCTGTATGAGGAGTTTGTTCCTGATAGTTTTAGGCATCATCCACTAATTTGCTTCAGATCATTGGCCACTTGAAGGAGCTGAGTTACTTGGATGCATCGTGTAATCGTATTGAGAGTTTACCATCAGAGATAGACAGTTTAGACAGCCTGACTGACTTACATCTATCCAAGAACTACCTGCAGGAACTTCCTAATACCATTGGTAAGGCTACAATGTAAGAGTCTGGCATTGGACAAACAAACTATGAGATCCTTTGCTATTCTTCCGAAATGGTTGGCTCATCTTGACAGGGTTAAAATGGAATGTCTCATACAAAAATGATTTTCAATGGTACAGGAAAGATAATGTAAAAAATTCATTCAATATGTATTTCAATTTGACAGCTATTTCGGTATTAAAATCAGTCAGAATGGCATACAGTTGCCTTGGATTATATTCTCCACAATGAGTATCAATTTCTTTCTTATTCAAACAAAAATTGTAATAAACAAGTTTGCTGAAGATAAATCTTCATGTAAACACACACTCTTGAAATGTGTGAAATCTGTATGTCAGTATCCCACATGCCTAGTCATAGTACAACGTCAATTTCCATGATCCACTTGCACTAATGGGGTAATGATGCGTTTAGTATGTGATGCGCATACTTGTTAGGTAGGAAAATTGTTTTGTTTTGTAACTATTTTTGGTATTTGTGTGTTGGTGTATTACACTTAATATGTTAACTTCAGGGTAACTTAACGGTATTCTGTTTATTGAACTGTTTAATTGTTTAATTTTTTAATTTACCAATAACACACACAAAAACTCACATGGGAAGACTTATATTATTTTCAAATATACTTTATTTTTTAATTTTTGGCCAAATGTGGTTGTAAAATTGGAGGTCGGCAATTTGGCCACAAGAAACATAGGTAGGTCGGGCTGCTGTAAACACAATTATTTTTGTTCAGCCTAAGAGGCACATCATGTATCATGACATCTTACTTTGACCTCTTCAGGACAACTGAGCACCTTACAGAACCTGAAGCTAGACTACAATCAGATCTCATTCCTGCCATACTCCATCGGTGGTCTGGTCTCATTAGAGGAACTCATACTCACCTATAATGATCTAGAGGAGCTACCTCCGAGTATTGGACTTCTGAGGAAACTCACTCATCTCAATGTTGATGAGAACATGCTGCTTGAGTTACCGTCGGAGGTGAGTCACAAACTCATACTTGTCTCCAGAGAGCACTTTGATATCTATTTTTCAATTTATAATGGGAACTTTTTCCACTTAAACCATGCAAGCCTGTATGTCAGTTACATTCACTTTCCCGCTTGTTTGTTAGACATAAACCCAATGACTCCAGCTGCAATCATACCTTAAAAAAAAAAAAAAAATTGATACTTACATGTACATCTCATGAAAAAATAAACAGAAGAAAAAAAGGACCTGCACAACCTTTATGTACTTGCCTGGGTAAGGTAGTACATCTACACAAACAAGCCAAGATCTCTATATGGCCTTGACATGTTTAGTGTAAGTATGATTTGGGAGAATTCAGAATTGTTCTGTGCAGAAATACCTAAACGTTTAAGGATTAATCCAAATTATTCGTTGGTTGGTGTAAATAATACTGAATGACAAGCTTTTACTTGGAAAATGTTGAATATTAATATTAATTCTGTGTGTTCAGTACTTTCAGGAAGCTTGTGAGAACAAAAACACTTTACAAATTGGTTCAATTGTGAGGTATACCCATGATTGCCTGCATACTAGGAATGTTGAACCGACTGACCATTGCTCTTGCTGCAGGGGTCAACTGGCCAATCAAAGTCAATGTAGCAGCAGATACTGCAGTTTGGGACATTTAATTGAAGTTTGCAAAATGATAACATTAATTTTATTGCTGAGATTCGTTTATCATTGTTTGTTTTTTCCGTCTTGCACTCAGCTTGGAAGCTGTAGCACCATCAGCCTTCTGTCCCTTCACAGCAACCTCCTGATGACCCTACCAGATGAGATTGGTCACATTAGCAACCTCTCTGTCGTCAATCTTTGCAACAATCAGCTACGGTATCTTCCTTACAAGTTCACCAAACTCAAGAAGCTTCAGGCACTCTGGCTGTCAGAAAACCAGGTATGCAATAATGTCAAATGCAGCTACTTGTGTTTTTTTGTGGACATGGGGATCAGTATGCAGCAATGAACATGAACCATGCTGCCATAGTTAATGCAGAATTTAATATATTATTGTCCTATTTGAGGAGAAATATGTGTTAATGTATAGGGACTCCCGGACTGAACTCTAGACTTAGTTAGCTTGCATGCATTACTGCTGTTAGTGAGAAAGTAGGAACCAGACTGTCTTGGCTAACATTAAAAGGAATCTCAATGATGAGGCATCATCTGAATATAATGAATTCATGTGTAAAGTGGCATGGACCTGGTTTGTGCAGGGTTTGATTCAATTTACAAGATCTAAGGTGGTTTTGGAATATATTGTAACATGACATCATTGTAGTTTCCCCCTTGTATTAAGTTTTTCATCTGTTTTCATGGGTTTGATTCAATTTACAAGATCTAAGGTGGTTTTGGAATATATTGTAACATGACATCATTGTAGCATCCCCCTTGTATTAGGTTTTTCATCTGCTTTTGTCTGTGTGTGTTTCTTTCTGCCCTAGTCTAAGCCCTTGATTCCTCTCCAGTCTGAGATGAGAGAAGACCTCGGTAAGAGGGTACTGACCTGCTTCCTGTTTCCACAGCAACACAAAGATCCCGATGAAGGTAAACCATTGCAGGCTCATCAGGAAAGTTTGTCAAGAGGAAATAATCCATAAAAGAGAAATACCTCAGCATATGTGTCTGGATAGCTGAGACAGTTCCTAAAAGGAATAAAATAGATGAACTAAATGGTGGGATGGTAGGATGCGTGGTACTCCCAAATGTTTTGGTTATGTTTATATTATGAGATGGTTGCATGTACATAACCTATGGACACTGTGCACAAGTAAAATCAGAGTAAATTTATTTGTGGTTACTTAGCACACTATATGTATATATGCAACCAGTGGGTGCACACACTGTTGCCATCCATGAAGATCTCACGGATGGTAATGTAGCGCCATTTACTGTTCATGTATGGAGTCCATGCTGGCAGTTAATACAGTTTTTAAGTAGTTTTTACCTGCAGGATAGCAGCTCAACAAATCATCATGTCTCTCCGTTAGTTCGTTAGTTAGTAACAAACGTTGACATTGTCTATTGCTCCTACATCTTTAGACTGATTTCAACCTAGCTTTGTCAAAAGTATCAGTAGCCCAGCCCCAACATGTCACATGACCAAACTGGGGTCAAAGGTCATCATGTGGTCACTGGGGTCAAAAAGCTGATTTTTGTTTTACTCAAAACACTACTTTCAGAAATTACATGGCACAATCACTTGACTCATGCATGAACAAGCATTCGTTGGCCCGCAGCTTCCGAGATCCGATCGAGCTTGTTAACTTACATCCCCGTACGAATTTAGACACGGCAAACATACATACACATGTAGAGCTGGTAGGGTATTGTAAAGGGTGCACATTCAAATCCCACTGCAGTCAATATGCTTGGTTTAACTACAGATTATTTCGCGGTACTGGTCAAGCTGAGCCACCAGTCAGTTTTTGAAGCATGCAAACATTATGCATTTTGTTCACTTTCTAGTTCTTGTCCCCTAGTGCTTCCAATATTTTGAGTGTTGTTTTTGTTGGGTCTCATCTGTAGTTGTCTATCAGAGTGATGGAGAGAGTTTCCATGCTTCTATCTGGGAGGAACAGAGACTGAGTCGCAGGCAGATCGCTTTTGATGTGTCCGAGTCTGATTCTGAGGTATGCATGGAACTGTAGATAACATAGACTAAATGTTTTGGGAGAAGCGATCCCCTAATGATGCTAACAGAAAGTCCTTAGTGTCCATTTTTGATGGAGGTTTTTTTCCTGGCATTGAATGGTATTATAGTTGTGAATAGGATCACTGGATAGATAAATCCAAATGAATTGCACATTTTCAAGTTCATTAATGATAGGATATGACATTCAGGTGAATGTATGTATCAGGCATTAAACCTTACATTATAGGCAAGGCCATTGGGCCTGCAGTTCTCAGGATTTCAAATACGCCAAGGCTGTTTATTTAGAAGACTGAAAAGAACAAACATGTTTTGTCCGTGGTTTGGATATGTTTGACTGTAAAGCCAATTTTCTCCGAACTTGTTTTTGCAAAACTTCCAAACTTCATTTGTGTAGACGTCATATTGAAGTAATTTAAACAATTCTGGCAAGAGTTCAACTCATTGCAGCTCTTGATCTTGGACCAGACGTGAATTTAGAAATCCATTACACTGCTAATTCAGAAATCAACCTCCTGAGGACGGATAGAGCACAATATCCAAAACGTCGAGTTCTACACTCAACCAACCGGTTCTTTTCAGAACAACACTTCTTCCAAAAAGATATCTTTCCACATGGTGTTACCCGCAAACATTACAATTTATCGCATCCGCCATGCAAAGCTTCAAGTCATATATAATTCAGAAATCCTTGACAAGTTATCTGTTATCTTTCCATTCTATACAGCACAAGAAGAAAAGAACACCTACCCCCTACCCCAAGGAAGGCGTCAAAAGGAAGATCCTTGCCACATCTCGTGGGGGTAGCGGCAAGGCCAGTAGATCACGTAGTCAAGCAAGCAACATTCTCCCTAATTATCCATCTGTAGATACTTCAGTAAGTGACCTGGATTTGCTGGTCTCAGAGGACCAAAGGTCCTCTTTGTACTTAGCTCACTGACTGATTGACTGACTGACTGATTGACTGACTGTCACTTGTAACTAAGGCCGTGTCCGAATTACTTGGTTACGGCTTGAAATTACAAACGTGTCTATGGAAGGCAGCTGCAGCCACTTCCCATAGACTTGTGAGTAATTTGATTAACCATAGCCAAGTATTTCGGACACATCCTTAGCCTTGTTGTTGGCTGGTGAAGAAAGCCAGGTAGTGCTATCGTATAGGATTTTTCCTTAGGGAATAAATGTGTGCTTGGGAAGTTTTAATCACTCTGTTTAAGACCGCTTTGGAGTCTGGGTGCTGATAATTACCCGAGCCGTAGGCGATGTCGTGCAGAATGCACCTGGGGCATGCATTGTGAATTTAGGACTATAAAATACTGGCTCACTGGTAGTATTGCGCATGCCTACGTGAGGATTGTGAACGTTCAACCAATAAAACGGTAAGAGGTACTGGATTTTTAGGAGTCCAAATTACATGTGACACTGGAAAGGTGTTTAAGAGCAGCTAGCCATATCTTTATCATCTGTTTAAGACCGGCCACGTGACGGGCTCTCGACCAATAGGAATGGGTAAACTGTCTCAGATATTTATGAATACAGGTTTTTGTGTGATCTCAGGTTGTGTTGTCAACACCAAGTTTCAATATCAGTGATTTGAGAGATTGTGATGTTTATATCTCAGCAGAGACATAGTCAACCAGGGAGTCCAAGAGACAGCAAGTCTCGACGGCCTCGATCCCCCGGCTCTCCTATAGCAGACAGCTTACACTTGTTCCAAGCAGACAAGGTTAGATTTCTACTCTTGTCCTAAGTAACAGGATTTCAATGTCAGAGGTTTACAAATTGATATAGGTACAAACCCTTTATACTAGACTTGGCTAATTAGTCTAGGTCCAGTCAGTAAGCCCTCGTGCATGCATCCCCTGCCCCCAACTGCAAGGCATAGTAGTCTGCCAACAGCTCACACTGTGTAGTACTCTATATACGCTCTCAACATAAGATGGTTGTGTTGATTGTTTTTCATTTCTCCCAAGTTATAATGCACTACACTGGCTTCCTTTGACTCGGATCTTTGCTAAGGAACCAAATCAGAGACACAATATTCAAGGAATGCAGTATGTTGTGTGCCATCTCTAAGTAATGTAGCTTACACTTGTTATATATTCTATACTTAGGAAAGATTGGGTCATCCCATGTTCAATCCTTGTTCTAATAGTTGCCTCTTGCTGTGCTATTTTGTCCTTCAGGAGAAGATGGCTAAGGATAAAGCTCGTCTGCGAGGGAGTATGTCATCCGTCAGTCGTCATGACAGTGACACTGAGTCTGTAGCATCCTCTACAAAGGAGAGAGTTGTTGGCCGAAGAGAAATGAGGGTAACAAACTGCTCTATGCAATGTTATCTTCAAAACAATTAATCTTCCATCATTCGATTTCCATTGAATCTTATCAGTTGCATGTATCCTCCTAAGGTTGACTCTGACTTAAGGTTGACGACTAAGATTAATTATTTGAAAGTTTTGGTGAAACACTCCCAGATCAATACTACAGAAGACAGAAATGATGTTTAGCAACACAATGGACATTGAGCAGTTGTCCTACCAGAGGCACATTTTCTACATTATTGGAATAAAATATTTACCGATCAAATTTTCTTGCTGCACAAATTAAGCTGGAAAGCAGTCACACTGCATTATTAACATCACATAACGTTATAACTGGTGGCTATAGTTTCTTAACAAAACCTTTCTTTGCCTTGCAAATTATCAATTCAACAAAAAGCCCCAGTTTTCAGAACCGGTCTTAGGTGACACAAGAGAAGCAACTACAGAATCACTTGACAGGTTTTGTTGTGCTTTAAGGCTGGTTCTTGTTTTCAACAGGAATTAATTAGGGACCATTATTTGATTAGTTGTGTAAGCATTGTTTGTTTGAAATGACTTTTCATATTGTTAGTTACATTAGTAAATAGTCTCAAGATTTGCTTTCCTTGTCTCAACTGCAGGCCAGAATGGACCGAGCAGCAATGAGTGACGCAGAAGCATTGATACAGAGCCCAGTCTGGAGCCACACTGGAGGAATAAACACAAACAAACAACGGACTGTACAGAATCATGTTACAAAGTCACCTGGCCCTGTTAACAAGAATCACAGCCGAGGGTATGAGTCCGATCAAGTTGACAATTCCCGGACACCTATCCGATCCCCGAAAGTGCCTCAGATGCAAGTACGTCACAGTCAGGCACCACGGAGCAGTAGCGTAGGATACAGCCGAGGCTACGAGTCAGATCAAGTTTGTACAAACCGGTCACCACTTGATGCATACGTACAAACACGAACCAAAACAGATTTGGAAAAGAACCGTAACTGCAATGCAGCGAGTACCAGCATGGATGGGCGCCAGTCATGGCGGTTGTCACATCAGCGTAGTTCTGGTTATGGTACTGACCCTGAACATGGGTACACAATGTCACCCTCGGAGGATCGACAATCAAGAATGGCTAATGTAAAACAGAAACGAGATGAAATGTTGCCTCCTCCATACTACAGAGTGCGTCAACTGAGGATGGGTGCTCAGTCCAGGTCTGTGCCACGTAAACACCCTTTCAAAGATCAACCACAAAGTTTGAAAGATTATGGCTGGATTGATAGTCAGTTGCCTTCCACACCAGAGACTGAGGCTGTATCTGCTAGACCTCAGACAAACCATGATCCAAACACAGAGTTCAGATCCAAATCATCAAGTAGGAACCCTCCGTTCAGGACACCACCAATGAGAAACAGGAGTCATCCATCTGCTTACTCGGATACAGAACTGACATCGGGTCCAAGAAGAGACCAACCAAAGTATGTAGAGCCATATCAAAGAGAGTCTGACAGACATCGCAACAGCAAGGAACAAGTCACTCAGCATGCCGAGTCTGGGTACCAACTAAGAAGAGAGAAAAGTTTCCAAAGTAATGACAGAGTATCGCAAGTTAATAAGGACCAGCAAAATGCCCAAAGTGATGGGGAGAACAGGCAAAGAGATGACAGACTACTCCATGAGGGTAGACAGAGGAACTCCCCTGTGTTTGATCACAGTAAACACCTTCCTACTTCCCAAGCACCATACTCTGATTCCAACCAACAATCCTCCAGGTCAGTAGACTTCACATCAACCAGTAACATGAGGCCGTCGAGTCAGCAACATCAGAAACTAACAGACCCTCGGAATAGACCTCTCCCTGAACAGAAAAACTGGCAGACACTGGTGACAGAAGATGGCAACCAAGACTATGTCAACTCACATGAAGACAGACAACAACCATCATCAGTACATCTCAATGCAAGAGGAAGCCACAGCCTGCCTAGAGATGTGGCTGGTCACCCGCAACAACCTAGTGATGCGTCCACCCGTGATGCCGGTAACCAGCCGAAATCATCCTCTCTACCAAGATCAGAGGTTAAAGGTTACAAGGCTGTAGTGGATGGCATCAGAAGAGACAGGGATCATGACACCTTGACTGATCGTCACACAAATACTAGAGTAAGTATATGTAGTCTTTAAAACTAATTTATCAGATTTAGTTGTTATGGCTGTATGCTGACATTTAGAATACAATAAATTGCATTTTACTTTGAAAATAAGAAGTTTGCCAGAAGTAATATAACTGTCAATCAGTGTTGTAGTTGAGACCTTTCCAAGGCCTCACTCGTTTTATCAAGTAGTAGTTAAATATTCAGAGACAAAATAAGTCAAATAGCTGTGCTACTAAGTGTCATTATTTGATGAAAGAAGGCTGAGATTTTTTTTGGAGATCAACATTGAAGTACAGCTAAATATGCCTTATTGAGAGTCAACATTTGTCAGAGAGCTTTTTGAGACCTTTTAAAGTTAAATTTTCCTATAAAATGTTTAATTCAAACTCTACGATAATATTCAAACAAAATAAAAGTTGAGTATGTTCAAAGTCAAGGCACTGAGTCTTTCCTGAGAGTCAATAAAACTTGACTCAAATCTGACATTCCATAATATTAGCCAATATGCGAGGTCTCGGAAAAGGTCTGGCACTGCTATCAATGAATAAATGCCAAATCAAGCTACCATCTGGACCACCTTGGTAATGTGTCTGTATGAAGCTGACTCTAGTCTTAGACTGAGATAGATTTGAATCTAGTGTGTTGGATGACAATGTCGGCTTCAACTTGCTGCCACCGAAAATTAAAATGTTTTTCCAAAAAAATATGTTGCAGGAGTTTTAACTTTTTGTATAATATTCACTGAGCTGAAACTGCAATATATATTAGTTTTGAAAATGTTCTACATTCAAATATGAGTGCGTTGAATCAGAATGAAAAGTGCATTTGCAAATGATGCTATTTGACATTTCCCTATTCTTTTATGCCATGTTGTAGGAAAATCATTCATTCTCGCCTCAACCTGATTCACAAAATTATAATTTCTAGATTGTCATTTTGAATCATGTGATTCCATGTTTATCTTAACTTCTAAATGTTTCTGTCTCTTTAATCAGAGAAGTGAAATGAAGATGAGACTGGATGGAGGAGCACCCAACTATGCATCAGAGCCAGAACTCAGACAGTCTTACCAACCACAGCATCCCACAGGAACGCCCATGGCTCAGCCCAGTTATAGACCTACTGGACACCCCAGGGATAGGACGCTGGAACGAAGACAGTCACACAGTCCAGTCTTTGAGAACCGAGATCAGGGTCCTTCAGGTGAAACTTTCAGGTTCCCTTATGGTTTAACCTCATCTACACCTAGTGTAGATGGTGGTTCTAGACCACAGAGCCCCACAGGCTCAAGACCTCATAGTCCAATCAACACCGTCCATCGTAGAAGTAGACCTGGCTCCCCAACGGACTTATCTCAATCTAAGCAACCAAACCACTTCTCTGAAAATGAATCATTCAATCCTACAAACCGGCACAGAGACTTCAGAAATGGTCATCTTGACAAGCTCAACAAGCTCCCACAGCGCCCACTTGCAAGGCAGTACAACAGTGACTATGCCTCAGATAAACCCAACTATAACCGCAGGGGCTCAGATTCTTTCATGGCACAACAGTCAAAGGTTGGCCAGCCAAGCAATGCCCCTATGTCCTACCACAGCCGATTGAGAGACAGTCTGCGTGGGGCACTACCTACTCCTATAGTGGGTACTAACCAGCATCAGACTATGCACAATATCTATACTCCTGAGCTGAACCCACGGTCCATGCAGTACCAGGGTCTATCTAGTCAGTCATCTAGTGTACCCGGCCCAGATCTATGGCCTCAGGATTCCTCAGGATATGCCAGCGACCAGAATGATTTGGGATGGAAGAGAGGTAAGCAAACAGCTACTTGATTATACACAGCCACTTAACTCTCATGGGTTAGAATTGTTCATTCTCAACCAATATAAATCAGGAAATTTGTGAGACATGAGGATGCACAGAGTCATTTTTCACATGGAATTTTTGCATCTCTGATTTACTCACGAACTGTGTTCTATTTTAGCATTCAGTTCTTCTAGGAGACACTCTATTGTACTAAAGTACCAGTACAAGTTTCCTAAAATGTTGTGATTTATTGTGCAAGTAACTCCCTGACCTATCTTGCATGATTCCCGTTTCCTTTCCTGTAGCCTCTTCCAGCACGCCTACATCCTCTGTCTTTCAAGGTCCATCCTCTCCACCATTGTGGAGACCAGGCTTTGATATCACTCCACCCAATCACCGATCCAGACATCCCTCATCAGATCCTCAAGACCAGCCCCCGCCGGCTAAAAGGGTAAAAGGCTTTCAGTTTTGTCTCTTTAACCACCCCCCGCCTTTTGACTGGCAAGTTCAGCAAAGCCATCCCAGTGGTCAAGTCAGTCAATTCTTAACAGTTAAGAGCGTCCTGCCTACATAAAGCTGGATTGACTGGCTGTGTTATAAAGCTTTGCGTTGACTGTAGGTGATTTATAAGTAACCTGATTTCATCTGTTGATGGAGTTTGAATATTCACAGTGCTTGCTTGAAATATGATCTGACTGTTGGTGATTAGCCTTTGTAAAAGGCATGGCAGGGGAAGAGGATTGATTTTGTTGTCTGTCTGTGACTGTTCAGACATCAGGAGGGTTAATGTTGGCATTTACAGTCAACTCTTGTGTTAATACAAAGACTGTTAATACAAATTCTGGTTATAGCAAACATAAAGTCTCGGTCCCCACTGTGCTCTATGTGCACAGTGAACAGGAAAGGCACTCCACTTAATACAAAATTCTGATATAACAAACGTTTTGGCTAGGTACGGCTGAGGTTTTTATGAACGAGAGTTGACTGTAAACACTGTGGCGCAAACTGGGAAGTAGAGGGTAGAAAGACAGGGTTTTTTTTTATCTTGTTATCCTGTGTTTGGTTAATTGACCATGGTCTGAATTGACTGCAAATTACATACAATTTGACTGACAATTTTGAGTTGATCAACTTGAAAGATTAAGTCAGTTTTGAGAAAACATGAACTGATTTTTGTAATTACATGTGTATATTGCCTTTGATTTTGTTTGATTTGTGTATGTTAGGTCCATCCAGTCAGCAAGCAATTCGCAACAATTTTATTCAGTTTCATTATTATGAAGAATAAAGACCATTCTATTGATCGTTGCATTACTTTGCTCACACTTGTGGTGCAGACTACAGGCAACTAATTTTCAACTGAATAAGAATACAAACCTGTAGTGGATGTAAGTATGGTTAAGGTACAGAGCATGAAGCAGTCTGTCTTACCAAATAATGGGTCGTTCTTGGGGTTTTAAATCATTTTATATGCTAGGAGGATTACAGTGTGGGTTGTGCTGTTTAATAATTAGCAGCTGATTATATTTCATAGCTCTTGTTTTCTTATGAGTGTCTGTTCTATTTCTCCTCCATCCCAAGATTCCTGTGGTCATCTACAAGAACCCAGGCCTTGGTTTCAGCATCACTGGAGGTAAAGATGCCCCTGGCAACCCCTTCCAACCATTTGACTGGGTGAGTGAAAAAAAAATGTGTTATGTTGAGAATTTTTACTCTTAAAATATACTCCTCATGTCATTATCATCTGTATTTGGCTTGTCTGTAACATGTGAGTCGGCCAACACAACACATTCCAAGGAGTGCACAGTAGGTGTACATTGTACGTATGTACATTTGTCCTTGTGTGGACAAACTTAGCCATTCATTTTGCGTATCCTGTGATCTTATTATTGTGATCTTCAAACAAATCATCAATTTAAAGCAGATGATTTAAGACCTTTATGTGGGCAATTCCACCGTTACGGACTTTGAATTCAGAGCTAAAATCCAATTTCAAACAACATAAAATACTTGCAGCAAAAGCAAGTTTTATATATTTGGCGCAACTCTAGCTTGGGTCTTAATGTACATGAGATTGTTAATGTAGTGTTAGCTGAATAAGTACGCAATGATAAAAGAATGAAATAAATATGATGTGGTAGATCTGGTTTCACTCTCTAAAAACAACAATGACATTTTGCAAAAAGGTACTTTGATGTTGTGGAAACATCAAAGTACCTTTTTGTTGTGGCGGATGTTACATTAAAACGTTACAGATGTTACATGTCTGAAATCAACTTCACCTACATGATAAAAAAATATTTAATCATATTATAAGTTCTGTGTGTTATTTTTATAAATATATCAACCTTCCTCTTTGCCTTAAAAATCAAACCTCACAGTAACACTTGCATTTTGCATTTAAAACAAGATTCCAATATGACAACCTAAAATTTATAAATTTAGCCCCCCCCCCAAAAAAAAGTTTTATTGACAAACATACATTTAACCACTTTCTATGTCATTGATGCACAACTCAAATAAAAGGTCTTGCCCCTTTTGTTTTGGTACCACATTTGAGGTTGTGATTCTTGTAGTTCTGAATATTTCATCAATTTTCCACTTTTTAGCCATGTCCACTTTGCGTGGAGTTGCCCATATACAGAAGAGTCATTGAAAAACGTTCTGGTAACTCAAACAAACTCATAATGTACTACTCACTTTTTTGATGCCGAAGACGAAAGTTGTGTGACTACTAATCATTGTTTTTATTGTCATGCAGGGCATTTTTGTGACCAAGATTCAGCCTGGTGGACCTGCCGATGGTGTGCTGAAGCCTGGGGACAAACTCCTGGAGGTCAACGGTCGAAGCTTTGACAGTATCCTACATGATGATGCGGTCAAATTGCTACGCAAAAGCAACCCAGTGTCTATAGTGGTTCATCGGACCAGTGCTGACAACTGATGAGTAGAGATTTATCACTTGCATTCAAACTATTACACTGGTAGTAAGATGGTTGGTAGATACATGCATGGACATGACTTTGTAATAGTAGAAGTTTTCTTTAAGAAACAATACCTTTACTAGTACCTTAAGGTTTGACAGACAGTACAAGTTAGCCTATACAGACATAGACAGCGTCAGGGGTAGTGTGGGCTTACTCAGGAGAGACAATTAGAGCCACTTTATTTGCACAGACGAATTGTCGTGCATTGTAGCCAAGCTGCATGCACATGGAGCACAGTACTTGCTTCCAAATGTGCATCTATACATGGCCAACATTTGGCATTTTTCATTTCTTTTGAACATTGAAAGCCTACAAATGCTTCCAGAACCACAGACAAAGCTGTTTTTTTCTGGTTTGAAAGAGGTAAAACCAACCAGCCGTACTTTTATAAAATCTTGACTTTTGTAAACATAGTGTATTTCCAAACAAAACAACAACAAAACAGCTTATCAAACAGTGCTGAATGTAAAGCTGAAATGAACTCTATTTTGTATTAATTATCAATTTGGTTATGAAATATCTTGATTTGTTTATTAAATATAAAATAAAAAAAATTTGAATTTAAAAGTTGATATGCACTCATTCGAAAACCACTGTTTTTTTTTAATCAGGATTCTACAGTTACACTTTGATTGATGCTAGACAGTATTCAAGCTTCTCTACAGTCTTCTTAAACAATAGTTCAACTGGTTTTGACATTTAAGTACTATTTTTGTTCCTACAGAAGAAATCACCGTGAAAGAAAAAAAAAAGTATGTATTATGTAGAATCTTTGAAAAAGTTGGTATTTTTGCCGTATCATAAATTAATATGTGCACAGAGCAGGGATAAATCCTGGATTTGAGAAACGGGAGCTGCCACAACTAGTAAACTATATTTTTTTTTAGATTATAAAAAAAAGGGCCTTAATTTTGAATGCATAACGGTGCTGCCTAGATGTACAACACAAAAACAAATATTCAGGACACTTTAACTTTTGTGAAAAGGTAAAAGAAGTGAACCAAAATGGGAGTCAGGACCCAAGCGACATCCCCCCCCCCCCCCCCCCCCCCGTAGAATATTTAAGAATTAAACACAAAGAGGACATATTTTGTATGTCATGATTCATGTTAAACAGTTAACAGTTTACTTGACCCTAACAATCTTCATAACATCCAATTAAAATGAAAGGGTTTCTTCTCCAATTTGAAATTTTAAGAACAAATAGTTTTGCAGATTTCTATAAAAAAAGGACAACTTTTCCCCTTTCCTGAATCTAATTTCTACATGGTGCCTAACAAAAGAGTCATAATGTATTCACAACTAACTGTAATAAAAGTGTTGCTAATACATGTATTCCATCCGATCAAATATTGAGGATATGCTGCATGATATTGCAATGAGGCTAATTTAAGATTTTTTATCACAGAGAGAATACTTTTATAAACAAACAAACAAACAAAAAGAGTCCAAACTGCCAAACCTCTTTTTAACCTCAAGTCCTGTGCCAGAGGCTGACATTATGGTTGGTAATGCAACATTTTTGACTGTTGACTGTGTTTGTTTGCACATATTCTATACCGTAAGTGCATCTGACCCTGGGCTTTACAAATGATATATTGTCCAACTCAAGAATTTCTAGAAATGTATTCAAATAAGGATCAGTTAGTCATGTAACATACATGTATTTAAAAGAACAGTTCTGATTTTGTTTAGGAGTTACATTTTTATAGTTGGTCATTCAAGATGTTATGATCTATGCAAACTTTTATACTAGCTTTTGTGCACTCTTTTCTTTCCGAGTAGCCGCAAATGAGTAGCTGTAACTTTGGGAAAGGGTGTGGCTGAAACGACCAAGACAGGTAAATCCATTTGTTTCCATTTTATCACACAATTAGCTGTCCTTTGCATGCATGTGCCTAGTGTGCTATAAGTAATGGAAGATTGTCAATGTAACCAATTAAGAATGAACCGTTTTTGCTATGTGGCTTCAGGTTGTATTTGGATGTAAATTGTCATTATTACTTTGTGTATTAGTTTCAGAGCAAGATATCAGTATACATTGCCATGTACATGTACAAGAGGCTTTTGACATAATACTGTGTGGCCGTGTAATATATGTATCAACTTTTTTTTACTGAATCGAGTCGGATGCAAAAACAAAGACTAAACAAAAAAAAATGAGAAGAGAGTTTGGGCAACATGGCATCTTATATTAACTGGTAACGAGGTCACTAGTGTACATCTATGAACCCAGGGGTCTGTGAGTGACCAGAAAAGGCACCTCACAGGACACTCATAGGCTGGAGGCATAGTGAGTTGGCATGCACTAGTCACCTAATCATGCCTGTGAATATGTGCTTTATAACACCCATTTTTTGTGTGTTATGACAAATAAGCCTCGATGACTTGCATTGGATGCTGTATCCAATCAAAATTGAATACAGTGCCTGAACAGGCACTATACATGTACTTTAAAAAAAAAATGCAAATAAGGGGAAATCAATGCACAGGCTAGATCATGCTTGATGCACATTTTACATGTATGTACTAGACTATATTAGTGAACACCACCGAACACCCATACTGGAATTTGTATCCCTGTGGAGTCATTTCTTTGTTCTCTTACATAAAATATTTCAATTTGCGACGGATCAACACACCTTGGAAATGCCTAGCTTTTGAGTAAAATCCATATACCGGGGTATCTATTTCATGATAATCTTGTGGAGACGTATTCACCTATAGAAATTGCTCTGTGGAGACGTATACAATCTTCTGTTCCCTATTGTGCACATGTCTCCACAGGGTACCGTGTACCAGATCTGTGTTTTAGCCAACCATGATAAAAGAATCAAGAGATGTGTTTATAAATGTGTTTATGGCTTCAGATTAAGCACCTCCTTAACAAAGACACTGACAACTTGGGAGACTGCCAAAGGGCTGATAGTTCAGTCGGTAGAGCACCAGTATGGTGGTCCTTAGGTCATGGGTTCAAATCCTACAACAGTAGTTTTCTTCGTTTAAAGGGAATAAACATCATTTGCTTTTGCTGTAATTTTCAGAAATGGATGGAATTGGGGGGTTGGAAATATAAAGCAAATATAGTTACACTGACTTTTTGGAGGTTTTGGGTTAGAAAATGCTATAAAAACCAAGAAAAACGATCATTTTCCTGTAGTCTGGTCCCCTGACTCCATATAAGAAGAAACAGAGCAGTTTACATACATTGGGGAATTGTAAGGTCAGGGAACCAGTCTAGCTGGCTCGTACCCGTTCATAGGTTTGTAATCGATTGCAAACAAGTGCGATGGTCAATTGGGGCCAGTATTTGAAAAAAAAGCCAGTTGTTTCCAACGCTGATCGGCCGATCAGCGTTGGAAATTGATACAAAAATACCACTTTTCTTGAAAATGACAGTATACCAGGTGCCATAATTTTACAGGATGCTTTAGACTGTCATTTACCAACATCCTATTAAGGTATTTCGCAAAAACTTGGTAGTTTTATTTTTCGATGTTTGCAAATGTTGTATATTCCCTTTAAGCTTATATTGATTTATAAAGGAAACCTGTTCAAGTTTTCCATTGTTTATTTGATATTTTTGTTCATTGTTTGATGTATTTACACCATTGCACATAAGCTGAAATTACTGCTCTGCTGAATGTACAAAGGCTGATTATGTGTGATTGTGGTGTTATGATGTTTTCTCTTTAATTCTTACCAAGAATATGAAATACATTTTGAATTGTTATAAATGACATTTAGTCAAGTATTTGGACCATTATTGACAGCCATATTGGCTGAAAGCAAAATCCATGAGCAAAGTTGTTCAATAAATCCACCATTTCTGATAAATATTTATTTAACTTAACCTTCCACTTCTAGGTAAATGTAGTTATTTATATTAAAAGAACCAAACGTATATTCTTTCATGTACAGAATTTCATACTTTCATATAATTTTGTAACATTTGTATTCAAGTATTATTATCCAAATATTGAAGAAAAAATGAACGCTTTTGACTTGTGAAGTGAATCCATCTTTGTGCATTCTTTGACTACATTTGTAAAAAATTTGTTGATTTTTATTTTATGTATGGAAATTGAAGTATTTACATTCATAAATTGTTCAGCTCGTCAAAATGGAGGCGAGAAAAATACATGTACATTGTACAATGTAATTTGAAATCTTTGACAAGGACCAGTATTTGCACAGCCCTGGAATATGAACCCTATTTAGCTTGAAGGCAAGAATATATTCTGTTCAAGTTGTGAAGCTTTCATTTGTTAAGAGTGCATAAGATCATTACCTCCTTGCAGTGGCGTAGCCACGGGGGGCGTGGGGGGAGGGGCGACAGCCCTTCCATGAAACCTTGTCGCCCCCCCCCCCCCCCCCCCACTGAGAATTTGAGTTTCTAAAAAAATTATCATTGATCTACATGACCCCCCCCCCCCTCCCCCAGCGCCCCCCACTGAAAAATTCCTGGCTACGCCACTGCCTCCTTGTGCATTTTGTTTCTCTGTCAAGGCTACAGAATTGCTCAATTTTTTTTAGTGGGGTGCATGTAAATGGGACATTTATAAAGATCAACATTCAAAGTTTCAATTTTCATTGCTATCACACCGAGATGAGTAAAAGCCACATGTTTTTCCTCATCCCCCACATTGTATCTTCAAAATATACCCACCCAGATTTGAAGTCATAGTATGTGATACACATTCAATGTAGAATACAGCTTGATTTGTATTTGATTTGATCCAGTGAAAGTTGGCATCACATTACCACAGAAGCCAATGTATCAAGTGTGACGGTCTATAAATGAAAATGTCCCAGTAAAAATAGTTATACACTTGCAACAGACTTTTTTGCTTTCAAAAGTGTGAATTTATTCACAGGATGTTTCTGCTAAAAGCAGTATGCACTGGGCACCTAGAGGGTGGTGATAAAATAGACACACACTGTTAACCAATATCTACAAATTAAACATACGTTGGACACATGAAATATCACAAATATCCTCATTCCTTACTTCTCCTCTGAACTGAAAAATGATGGTGTCTGAAACAGCAAGGTCGGTTCACATATAGGGCTATATATAGAATTACTTAAGAGCCAACTCCTACTTTCCTTGTGCAGAACACATGTTGAATTCATGTGCATGTGCGTAGAATATATTGAAATGGAGAGGCATTTCACATGATATGCTCCAAGTGCACAAGTGCAACAAACCCAGCCAGCATAGGGGCATTGTCCACTAGTATGATCAAACAAAACATCAGAAGTGCATACGCACATGTGTTTGTTATTTCCACAACCCAAAAGGAAACACTCGTGTGCTTTTAGATGCACCTCTAGAGGTAACAAATGCAGAAACAAATTGCTACTTAACAGCCATACAACTATCCCATAGGTTTGTGCACAAACGTGGATGCATCCAGCAAGCATCACTGCATAGTGCATACTGCAAGTTAGCGAGCGCTCTAGCAATTTTATATAGCTCTACATTCAAAACTCACAAATAACTTTAAAACCATAAAAAAATAATTATATCTTAAAAGGAAAAGTTACAAGGAAACCACAATGACAGGATATGATGACATTGTCTTCAAGCAAACTTGAATCCGCGATGCTGATTGGTCGATCCATGGAAACAAACTGGCTACATTATCCCATGTAGCAAGGTCCATACCGCACTCCGTATATCGCGCTATTCCAAGATGCCCGTGCCATTCCTGCTGCACGCACGTTGTACAGCCCACGGTGCATATTCCATCTTTACTAATTTTGTGTCAAGTTTGATTGAAGATAATTTGTTATCCCACTCACGCTCGTGGAACATGTAGTGCATCTGTGTCCCCCAGTGTGGGACACAGACGCACTACATTATTCTACATTTTAGCTGGATAACTAATAATGTAATCCCTTTCTATGTATTCATTTGGATTCAGGAAACAGTCTTTTTTGGGGGGGGGGGAACCCTCATCCCACAGACTTTTGACACAAGGGAGAATTGCTTTTGTTTTAATGGGAAAGGCATGAAAAGACCTTTTGTGCATCATTGTCACTGCACCAAACACTTTCAAAGATAGCAGTTACAAAGAAGATCTATCAAATAAGTCTGAATATCCCTTTACATTCTTCCAAATAAAGACACACTGCATTGGTGAAGCCATTTCTTTCGGAAATTACAATTTGACTCTTTGAAATTTGTGCTCGCATTATAGATTGTTACTTTGATTGTTCTTTCATTTTGAGACAAGTTGTGTACATAAACTCTCCTAGACTAGTCACTGTCATTCATGTGATGTTAATGTTGAAGACTGCACCAAATGCTTGATGTTGAATGACATCCAGTCTAAATGCAAACCATGTCTCTTGCTGATAGGTCCAATAGCACATACATAGTAGTTAGTCTCCTCTCCAGGCCATCTCTCCAGTGTTCTTGCACACACACCTAGTACACACATGTGGCATCTTTCTACACATCTTTAAACCAGGATATTGCAAATGTTTTGGCGCAAACAGTAGATACCAGCAATGCAGCAGATTGCCAAAGTCAGCCAGATAAGTCTGCTGGTGAATTGTGAAGTGAAGATCAGAGGTCAAAGTTCAAATCATCTTACAGGTAGAGGCTGGCAGCAAATATGATGTCCCTCTTGATCTTGACAATACCTGAAACAATAGAGAGATATTTCCTCTATCAAAAAGTATTCATTGAAAGGGGAGATATAAAGGCTTGATTAGTTGCATTCCATTTACTCTTCCCGGATTCAAGTAACAGCATTCAAATTTAAATGTCAAAAAGGCCACTCCAAATGTGTTTCGGGTAACTTTGCCCTCCAGAAAGGTCAAGCAAGTATGGTACTGGTACTGTTTACATATACATGTTGGAGAACAGGCAGACATAATTGTTCTCTTACTTCCTTCATACTTATTCCAGTCTCTGTCTCTAATTTTTTAACTTAACAAAACATACAAATTGAATTTTAAAAATTGACTAATATGTAAAATTAAACACAGACTAACAAACAAAACATAATTATAAATTCTAACACTAACAATTGAGGGTCAATTAAGTTATAGGGAACAAAGCATTTTTGCCCTACTTAGCCTAAGGAAAGTTCAAACCAACAGAAGCTTCAGTTTCTGAGAAATCGTGAAAAACCCATTAACAATATTTTCCATGTGAAACTGATTCAGTACTGGATTCATCAAACATCAACACACCACGCAGCTTCCACTTAGTATTTGTCAAAGCTACTATGGTGCTGCATCTGAATCTATCACTCAATCCAGGGGCAGCTGCACTTTACCTTTACTGATTGCAGTATATATGACAAGTCAACTTTCAACATAAACTTCAAGTATCTTCTAAATGACGGCATGTCAGATGTCAGAGGGAATAATCTCACACAAGGTGTTTTAAATGTATCCAGTCTTTACATATAATATATTTCTCAATTTTTTAATTGATCTGTTGTGGAGTAACTGAAAGTCATCCTATAAATTATCATTTGAAATCTATAATAAGCTCACTAAAGAGCATGCTTTACTTGTTTTGTCATTCATCTTGAAAATCGTAATGCCGTTTTGGTTTCCATAGATGCACAATGAAGTATCATTAGGGTGTGCCCACTCACCCGCAGCAAACTTGTTTTCCAGCTCCGTGTTTCCAATGGCCTTGGCAGCATGGCACATCTCCCTCATCAGCTCTTCTAGTCTTCTCATGCAGCGGATGATACTGCCTGTCATTGCATGGTAAAGGCAAAAACAGACTAGCATGTTTGACAGGATAAAAAGTAACCACTTGAATAAAGACTTCCAATTGGATGCTCAAGTTATTGACTGATATACTGTGTTTAGGTATGTGCACTGTGTAGACAAAATTGTCTTATTTTCCACTTCATTCAACCA